AGATTATCTTTTTATTTTCTTTTTTATGCAACAGACTAAATTTGAATTATCTGTGTTAACTAATACAATCGTATCTGAGACATATGGTTTCAATTTAACTGGCACCGAACGTCATTCTCAGCTGGCTTTATGGCAGCTAATCAATACCGCTAATGAGATGCTACATGATGTCATCATTTCCTTGAAATAAATGTCCTAGAATATTTTTGCAGTGTTCAATGTGATTAAAGCAAACACATTTCTACAATGGTTCAAAAATATATAAATATTCATTGCTTTGCTTTTTATTATTCCTATAAATTGAATTCTTCCAATGCTGTCCATTTCAGCCAAAACACTTAGAAAACCGTGTAGGTTGAGATATTGACACGTGGTTTGATTATCTGGCAACCTTTGGTAAATATTATAATCAGTATTGCCTGAAGTAAGTGATAGATGTAATTAGCGACAGAACTTAAGTCTTCTTGATTGTACCAGGACAGTTTCTCAAATTTTAATGTGTGTGCAGATCACCTGAGGATCTTATTAAAACTCAGATTCTGATTCAGTAGATCAGGGGTGGAGCTAGACATTCTAAATTTCTAACAGGATCCTAGGAGATGCTGACGCTGATGGTCCACAAACCACACTTTGGGCAGCAAAATCAACAGAAGACATTGAGCTGAGAAAGAAAGAAGACCAAATGCAAAATAACTTACAGGTAGCTGTTCTGTCCTGTTCATTTTATTTAAAAAATAAATAGTTATTATAAAAACAAACAAACTAGCAGTTCATGCGCATACAGAGCACTGCTACTAATTTTACAAATTGTTGCAATTTCTCTGTCTGTTGGTGTGCTACAGTACATATTCATTAACTATCCAAATTTTAAGAATCTTTGGAGCAGTGTGTTTTGACTGTAACATCTTCTCAAGTGAAAACAGTAATAGCACAGTCTTTATATTACCGGATTCTGCAGAAGCTGGGAAGTGGGGAAGTGTGTCTGTGTGTGCAGCTGCACGGTTTGTGAGTGGAATGTGGTGGGACAGAACCAGGAAATATAACCCCCAACATGAGATACTCCATGAGAGCAGACCACAGAACTATGTGTAGGAATTTAATTGCATGTCTTTAGGATAAATGCCAGTACCAGCACCAGTTGTTGTCAAGTCGACTCCAACTCGTGGCAATGCTATGTGTGTCAGAGTAGAATTGTACTCCATAGGGTTTTCAGTGGCTGATTTTTCGGAAGTAGATCACCAGGCCTTTCTTCTGAGGTGCCTCTGGGTGGACTCAAACCACTAATCTTTGGGTTAGAAGCCGATCACTTTAACCATTTGCACCACCCAGGGTTTCCTCTAGGATAAGAAAATTAATCCTAACTTTAGGGGAATCAAATCTGTGAAATGGGACTATCTGGAAAACATAGAATAAAGGGGCTCATGTTTTTCACTTCCATGTTAACATGGAAACAAAGGTGAGTACAGGATGAGTAGAGGTGGCACGGAGTCTCTGGGTGGGGCAAGTGGTTAAGCACAGGACTACTAACCAAAATGTGGGCGGTTCAAACCCACTCAGAGTTACCTTGGAAGTAAGGCCTGGAGACCTGCTTCCAAAAGGTCACAGTCCTGAAAACTCTATGGAATGGAGTTCTATCTGGCACGCTTGGGGTCGCCATGAGTTGGAATCAACTCAACAGCAACCAACAACAACAACAGAGATGGCAGGTTCGTTTTCAAGCTTGTAAGAGTAATAGCACATGTAACTTTTTGCTCTATTTACTGTCCCTGTAAGAGCTGGAAGAGCAGCCACTTGTCTGAAGTACAGGCTTTTGCCTTTCATAAACATTACACGCTTTCTCCCCACCAACCTGCATTTGGACGCAGATCTAGAAACTATACTTACATAGAAAATGATCCATCCCCATCACACATCTTGGCTGGTTTTATGTGGGCTCCCAGATATTTCCTATCTCCCCTCATTACAGCAGAAGCCTCTCTGTCTTCTGAGCTCCGCAGACTTCCCTCACCTCACCCACCCCCTCCTTTGGGTTCTTCCTGGTGATGCTGATTGAACAAGGAGCAGTCAGCATTGAGTGGTAGTCTTTCTCCTTTGCAGTTACTATTATTTTTAACTTGAGAAATCCACCTAGTTAGACTACTGCCTGTTTGCCAGGCAGAGGCAGCTGCTGTCAGGGTTCTGCCACAGCCCTGGGACAGCCTATTGGGAAATATGCTCACGAGCAGAGTTTGGCCTGGGGTCAGTCTGGACCTCGGACCGCTCAATAGCTCTTCTTCACAGCGGTTTGCTGGCATCGAGAGTAGACGCTACACCAGCCCAAAGAAGATGCCACTGTTTTTACTCTGTCTTTTCAGCATACACACGCACACACACACACACACACACACACGAATACGGACAACATGCACACACACACGCTGACATTTGCTTTCTACATCCACTCCTTGGAATAAAAAGGAAACCCTTGTAAGGAAATTGGCTGGGTGTCACATGGCCATAGGCGCTACTATAGGTGTTTTGGATAAAGCTCATGTAGGAACATATGGGCCTCATGAAAGAAACACCTGCTTGTTCAAATTGGAAAATAAAAAGGAAAAGTGGCCCCACTGCTAATTTGGAACCCCTAGAAGGAAAGCTGACTGTGATTAAATGAAGGAGGCTGCTTGAGGCTCTTTTCTGCCTGTATCCTCTCGGCTGAGGCATTTCCATTCTCTCTATTTTTTTTCATATTTAAATGTTTTTATTTAAGAAATTACTTTTCAGGGCCCAAAGTCCATCAAATTGGGAAAAGACAGCCTTTTTAACAAATGGTGCTGGCAAAACTTGATATCCATCTGCAAAAAATGCAATAGGACCCATACCTCACACCATATACAAAAACTAATTCAAAATGGATCAAAGACCTGAATGTAAAGCCAAAAAGTATAAAGTTCATAGAAGAAAAAATAGGACCAACACTATAGGCCCTAATACACGGCATTACCGGGATACAAACCATAACCATCAACA